TCTAGAACGAAGGAGAAGTTTCCCGTCTGTGAGAGCCCTTCATCAGCAAGTCACAGCCACAAAGCCCCACCACCTTAGGGTCTCATTGGTTTTCTTTCAATAAACGCTTAAAACGTCAACTGCAGTTAGGAAGCTTACTTGGGAAGTAGTCAAGAAGAAGCCCCCAACTCTTCCTCCCCTTCCCCGTCCCAGGGGAGAGCTGGAGCAGAGAAAGGGGGGGTTTGGGGGGGCCCTTCTGAAATCTCTCTTCCACTTTTGGCTTCTCCTTATGACAGAAAATGTCCACTAACCAGAGGGCAGTTTTAAAATAGGTGGAGACTTGCATCCAGGTGAAGCAGATGCAAATATTCCTTCCTGGGATTCCAGACAGTGCCTGGTCTGAATAGGAGCTTGTTAGTCTTGTGTGTAAAACCTTTTATGACTCAGTTTCAGCTCAATAAAAGAGCAAATGTAAGTATAAACGTTGACTTCTGTGATTAGACTAATGTCTCCAGTCCAGCTTTCCTTTTATTTGCAAAGAAAACTATACATAAGATACGATGTTATAGTAAGAGTTGTTCAGTGTATAATCCTTTTAAAATCAGCTACACAATCATCCAATTTAGAACTCCATAAATTCTACAATTTTTGAAGAAGTTCCATGCCTGTAGCAGGAACATAATATAAATTAAACTACATTCTTATGATTATTAGAATTAGGAGAGGAGAGGAAAATTCCCATGTAATTGCTGCACTCATCAGTGTAACTTCTACATTAATATAATGCTGGTTGGTGGGGGTAGAGTAGTGTCAAAACAGGAGATAGAATTAATAACAAGAATTAATCATGCATAGACAGAATATGCAAAAAAAAGGTTATTTGAATGCAGAGGTGAAAACTTGCCCCTTTGCAGCCGTGAATCCATATCAGAATGCGAAATAAGCAATGCCATCAAACTTTTAAGGACAGATGTAAGAATCTCAGAAATGTTAAAATCTCCCAGGGGAAATTAGCAAAACCCCTGACCAAATTCTGCAAGGAGGCCGCTTGCTCAAAGACTTTTAAGCGCATAACTTTTATTCCACTTCTTAGAAAAGCAGGACTTGCACAGCGCCCTCAACACAGAATCAATGATTGCAAAACTGAAAACTATAGCCAGCGATACCCCTCTTCAGAACACAAATAGTTTGTCAATCTCGGGAATTTAATTATAAAAAAACAGGAAATCAGTTGGTGAAATAAAACCTCAAATAGAAGTTGCCAGGAAATCAGATGTGAAGAATATTCTTATCCCGGGAGAAAAGGCCTTCAAGCCAAGGAGGAGGAGGACCAAATGCTGTGTCTGAACCACCATCGCTACCAAAACTCTGGACAATGTCCAAGGAGGCCATGAACAGGTGGAAGCCTTTGGAAGGCGGCTTTAGGGCCTTGAGAATCCTTGAAGTCACAGAAACAGCACGGAAGGGGGGGGAGGGAGCCTCCGAAGACCATCGGACGAAGAAAGCTGAGGAGGCACTTGGGGCAGATATTCCAGGGAACCGGAACAAGGGACCCTGTCGAAGGAAGAGGAGGAGGAGGAGGAGGAGGGGGAAACGGGGTGATGGAAGCCACAAGGGGAGGAACTGGAAAGAGAGAGAGAGAGAGAGAGGTCTAGAGGAAAGAGGTAAAAAAGTGGCACAGAGGCTGGCACAGGGGGTTATAGTTGGGCTCTCGTTTTTTATTCCCTTGCCTAGAATATTCATAGTGTAAATAGGCATATAATGTCTTATTTTTGTAGGCATTCTACTGCTGTTATTGAAGAATATGAAAATAAAGTTATGGAACTTTCTAAGTCCAACTATTTATTTCCAACTCTTTACGATCCCAGCAACTGAAGCATTTTGTCCAACACAACATATCATGCTGAAGGGGAGAGGCTCCCATTCTGTTAATATATTTTTATTAAAATTTTCATATAGGTAAAAGATAAATCTGAAATACAAAGTAAGGAAAAGATAAAAGTGCAAAAGTTATATTGATAGAAAAAAGTTAAACTTGTGTTTCAATCTTCTTTAAAATTACACTTAATTTCCTTTTTCTTTCTTATATTCAACCCTTTTTAATCAGCAAATCCATAAATCAGCAATTGTTTCCATTTTCAACAAAATGTTCATAAGAGGTATTTATAAAATATTTGTTCAATTTTCCATAACCAAACAATAAGTAAAAATATGTTGCAGAAACCTAATATGACTCTGAGTCCAACCTGCCCTGTAGGGTTTGCTGTTAAGGAGACAACATCCACTAAGCTCTCAAAAGGCAATCAAATGAATTATCAATAAGGAGCCATGATTTATACCCAGGAACCACCAGTATCGTATCTGACCCTTTCTCATTTTGGCCTCCATCTTCCATGGGGCTGGACTTAGAGCTGCTGAAACACTTTCCTGTCAGCCCGAACACTTGGTCAGTGGAATGGCTTCCCTCCAGAGGACGGGGTGGGTGCTCTGCCGCGACTGGCTTTTAAGAAGGGATTGCACAGAACGGTACAGTCTCCTGATTGAGCAGGGGGTTGGACTAGAAGACCTCCAAGGACCCTCCCAACTTGGTTATTCTGTGTCTACACATGAAGAGGGTCAGCCATAAATGGGTCAGGAGGGCACGTCTTCCTTTCCTGCTGAGGAGCTTCCTGAAGGATCGAGCTGGCTAGCTTGGGGCTGCAAATATGGGGCCACCGGACAGAGAGAGCCTTGGGCCCAAGGGTCATTTCGCTTTCTTGAAAAGTCAAGGGGGAAACTACGTTTCCCAAGTATAGAAATGTCAAAGACAGAGTCACTACAGAACTGGATAAGCAGGAAAAGTTAACATTTACTGTCAAAGATGCTACTTTTTAACTGATGTAAAACATTTGCCCCCCAGGAATTACGCTGGCACCTGTTTCACACACATTAAATTATGGTTTGCTAAACATGGTTTATTGAACCTACCATGTTGCATTCAGCCCATCAAATTCCCTGGAGCGCCTTTCCTTCTGCCCCAGCTGAATTTCCTGCCCTTCCAGGATGGAGGACTTGCTGGGCTCCTACAACACGCTAAACCAAACCATGTTTATTGCCTGGTTAGCAAACTCCACTCCCCCCCCCCTCAGAGCAGCAGCTCAAGTTGGGCTTTTCCAGAGAAAAATACAAAATACACAGAGCCACCAATCAGCCCCACCCGCATTTCAGCCTCCCGTGTGGAGCTGGTGGTCTCTTTGTCTGGGGGGCAGTTGAGGATCTGCTATGGAGATTCCCGCTTTTCTGGGTTGAGGAAAATCCCAAGTCGGGTTAAGGAAGGAAGGGGGGGGGCTGAACAAAACCAGGGAGAGCAGGCGGGGGCCTCGGGGGAGAGCCCTGCCCCACAGAAAAGCAGACTGTGCAGCAATCGGCCAGAGAGAGAGGGGGGCCCTTTCAGTCTTGCCCCACATTGTCCCTGGAGGCCCATCCATGGTTGCCCCACCTGGCAAATCACCGGATGGATTCTGGGTGGCAGGTCAGGGCGAAGGGTGAAAGCCGCCTCCTCCAGTTGCTGGTTGCCAGAGAAGCGGTTGGGGGGGGCTTGCAAGCCTCCCCTCCCCACCATGGCACCCACAGGCCAAACCAGCTACAGCTGGACCTTGGGCAGCCCCAGGCAGAGCCAGGGGGCTCAGGGGGCTCAAGAGCCTCTTCCTCACCACGGGTAGATTCTTGGCAGCCCCCCCCCCCCTTCATCCTTCTCCGTCCTGCCTTCTCCCAAGGGGAGAAGAATCTGCTCCCTACAGCAGCCACCCTGGCGAGAGGGAGGGGCTGGGCCCCGGCCTGCGGTGGGGCTGAGGCAGCCCAACTGCCCCTTGCCAAGCGGGGCCACGAGCCCTCCCGCCGGTGGGGCCTTGCCGCTGACCACCCAGCCTCTGCCCTCCTGCTGGCTTCAAGGCAAAGTTTCCACCTCCCTTCGTTTAGGAAGAGAGAAAACCCACCTGTGGGGAAGGAGCAGCATGAACACTGGGCCACCCAGCAGCTTTGATGGGGGTTCTGGTCCAAACACTGTCAGCTGGTCCCTTGTGGTCGCCATCTTGACTTTTCTGACTTTCCTTGCTTTGGAAGAAGGATCCTTCTGGGTCCAGTTCCAAGTGGGGAAAAAGACACTGGAAACACGGAGGCTGTTTGGAAAGGTGGTTTAATGGTGGGCAGCAGGACCAGGCACCAGGCTTGGGGCTCCAAGGTGAAAGGAGAAGAAGGGGGCCAAGACACGGAGAGACCCTGGTACGACCTCGGCTGGGCCCCACCTTCGTGTTTCCTGTTCCTGTGCAAGAAATGCATCCCATTGGCTGTCAGACTCCCAGGGGCGGGGTCTTAGCTAACCTGGTAGGCTTTGCCTGGACCACATGGCTTCACCTGAGTGCTGGCTGATACGACCTTCCCAGGTGTCAGGTGGTGAGATGGGTAGAGGCCTTTATTATGTAGAATACTCTGGCCTAATGGCTTAATGGCCCATTAGCAAAGGTGGGGGGGTTGCTGAGTTTCTGCCTCTCTGAGGCTCTGCTTCTCTTTTTAGGGGAAATATTCTGCCTTTTTAATATTTCCTAGGATATTTCATTTTTCTAGGAGTGGGGTGGGTGCTAACTTCCTACACAACTTACTGCAGACTTATTTTTCTCCTCTAACTGGCTAGAGGCTGAACACCTGGTGAGCCACTAGCCAAGCTGCTGACCTCCAGCAAGGGGCCTGTGGGGGCCGGTGAGAGCTTCAGTTCAGCCAGGCTAATTGTGGTGAGTGCAGGGAGGGGCTGCAGGCTCCCATTTCCCACCGAGGTGAAACCAAGCGCCAGGGAGGCCTTAAAGCCCAGGCACTCTGGAGCTGCAGGAGGGGAATGGCCTCTGTGGGGAGGTTGCAGGCCGCCCGGCTCCCTCCCTTCCCCTTCCACCCCTTTCCCCTTAAGAAGCTGCAAGGCAGCCTCAGCTGGGAGCCCTTTCCCCACCTGTGCCTTGCTCCCATGACTCTCTGCTTTGCCGTGGAGGGCAAGCATGGCCGAGGACGGCTCTGGTGGGGACTCTCAGCAGCAGCTGCTGCTGCCTCGGCTCTTCCTGGCCCCTCCAGCTGAAGTCTTGGGCGAGATCCTAAGCAAGCAGTTTGGCCCCCTGCCTTTCATGGCTCCCATTACACGGATGAAGAGGAAGCCATCGGGCTACTATTATTCCACTGAGAACCGGGAGCAAGTCCTGGGCCGGAGACGGGCAGCTAATGCCAAAGAGCGAGAGAGGGTAAGCAGGCAGGGGCCCCCTCCCCACTGGCTCCCCTGGGAAGTTTCTGGTCTCTGCTTGGTTGGTAGGGCTGAGGCTTGTCTAGGCAGGCAGAAAGCAGATGCAAAGGTGCCTTGTGTCCCAGCCCTGAGCACACTCCCCAACCTGGCCTCTCCCAGGTGCCTTGGGATGGCAAGCTGGCTGAGAATTGCAATCCTTGGTGCCCATCTGGAGTCTCCAAGGGGAGAGAAGGCCTTGGAGTTTGAAATCCCTGCTCTCCTCCCACGGGAAGAAAAATACCCCCCACTCCCGTAGTTCCAAGGCCGGCTGCACACCTAGGAGGAGCCATATCTGTAATCTGTTGTGTTTGAAGGAAGAATCCACCTTGAGAGATGAAATGGCTGCTCTTCCATACTTGCCCCATACTTGGGTTACAGTTGTCTTGTCCAAACTCTGGTGCCCACCTGGGGACTGTGGCCCCAGTTGAAGCTGCATGGTGGGAGGGGGCCACATGTGTAATTGCATTGGGGGGGCGGCTCTTCAAAAAGCACCGTGAATGCCCAGATTGCCCACCTTCCGAAAGCCTCTCATGATGCCTCCAAAAACAGGCGTTGAATTTGCACAAGCCGGTCCCTCTGCCGGTTCTCTCCCACGTACTTGTTTCCCAAGACCTGAGAGGAGGTTTGGAGCAGTCTTTCTTGAAGTTGGCCCCAGAGTCTCTGGACGCCCCCAGGACCCTCTCAGTGCCCCCCAAATCAAAATTATTTGCCAGATAGTGAACATATTTCCCAAAAATAAAATTTGTATCATTTTTAATATTTAAAAATAATGTTTTTAAAAACAAGGTTTTTTTATGGGGAATATTTATGTTAATGCACAATGGGTTTAATGTTATTTTTACATCATTCAATAAATATTTTATGAATCATTTTAATTAAAGGCTGCAACAGTCATGAGGAATGATCTTTTGTCATGGTGGAGGTGGTAAGGGGAGATCGGCGGCTAGTGGGGCACCCTTTGGGGGGGCTTGGGGTCAACCCAGACTTTTCTGGAACTGCTGGGTTTACCAGTTCTTCCGAGAAAGGAGCAATAAACCAGGTTCTTGGCACTTTTGGAGCGAGTTCTTATCAATAGCTTCAAAAGTTGACTGCATAAACATTGGAAATGCATCCATGGCTATTCACACGGGTCGTATCAGGTTTGAACTAGGAGGCTGGCAGTCACATCTTGCCAGAGACAAAAGCCATGAAAGATTGCCAGGGTTTCATGCCCTCCTCTGGTAGCCCTTTCAGTCCTGGTCTGGATCATGGTTTGTTTGGGGTTTATCTAATACAATGTAATTGGATAGATTCACACAACCCGCTTTTATTTACCATCGTGGTGGAGATCGTGAAACACCAAGCCAACTGCATATTTGGCTTATGTGAACCGTCTCCAAAACCTCTAACCAAAGAAATAGTTGTGGGGGAGACAATGTAAAAGAGACTCTTCATTACAAAAGCATTGAGAGTGACAGCCAATACTACATATCCTTAAGAATCTTGTTCAACTATGTTTGGCATGTTTCTAAAACTTTTGAATAGTTGCTATTGAATGCTCGGAATTCAAGCTGCCTTTTAAACTACATGATTTTATTTAAGCTCATGGTTTTATTTGTCCCTTCTAATGAAATTGCCATGTGCAATTTTCTCTTTCCTCATACAGACAAGCATCCACAAGGCCTACAGCTGATTCTGATCATTCACCTCACCTCACCTTTTTTGTCTAAGCAGATCAGGAATCTGAACAGCGGTTTCTCCAAACTGAAATCAATTGTCCCGTTGATTCCAAAAGACCGGAAGCCGAGTAAAGTGGACATGCTTAAAGCCACAGCTGAATATATTCGCCTGTTGCGCTTGATTCTGAAAGAAACCGGAGGGCTCGAGGTAGGCGTGAAACCGCTGTCTTGCTAAGATAACACCATTCTGTGAACTAAATGTCTGATCCTGCACTGGGTAATATGCCAGGATTCTTTTGCCAAGTTCCAAACCATGGAGCCTCTTTTTCATATATGCATTTTTAATTTTTTAAAATGTAACTGAAAGGGCACTTTATTAAAAGCTTGAAATAAGCATGATGACACAATGGTATCAAGCAGCAAAGTCGGAGTGAAAGTGTGCACGACCAGCCCTCCAACAACTCCCACCCCCAAGAACAGAGCTATAGGAAGGTGAACAGTCCAAGGTCCTGGGAATGTGTGACTTTCCACCCCAAAACTGGACACAATTCCTGTGACATTCCAAAAGTTGCCTCTGGATTATGTCAGTTAAGGCAAAAATTGTTAAACACATTTCTAACATACTTATACTTTGGCCACATGTGGTTAGACACAAAAGGAATTGGTCTCCAGTACAGAAGCACCCAGTGTATTTGCAAAACAACAGAATATAATAATACTAAAGTGTACCGCCAATAAAAAGGGGAAGTAAAAAATAATAAAAGATAATACTGCAGCCACACCCCAAGGGTTAATATACATACACATTAGACAAAAAACGCAGTAGTCGCTGTACTTTTACTGTATTTAAGAGCCCTGGTGGCCCAGTGGTTAGAATGCAGTACTGCAGACTAACTCACTGCTCACCCCAGGAGTTCGATTCTGAGCGGCTCAGCTTTCCATCCTTCTGAGGTGGGTAAAATGAGGACCCGGATGGTTGGGGGCAATAGGCTGATGCTGTAAACTGCTTAGAGAGGGCCGTAAAGTACTACGAAGCGAAGCGGCACTTAAGCCTCAGCACTATTGTTATTTTGTCTGCTGAGAGAATTCAGTGTTTGGCAGAGTGATGGCCCAAGAGAAGAAGCTCTCCCTGCGTCTCATGGTCCTGGCATGCAGTGCCCCATCATGCTGTCCCATATCAGATTACTGGGCTGCACCTGGAAGTCTCTTTTCCCCTCCCCCACGCTTGAGCTGATCAACGGCCCACCCAAGATGAGGAAGTGGCATTTGGGGCTGCACAGCTTTCGATGTCAGGAAGGACCACCGCCTCATTTCCCAAAATAAATGGTGCCCACATGTGAAATGTTCAAAGGGCATTTCCACACCAAGCCTGAAATGGCACCATCAGTTTTGTAGCTTTGGAATTTGTCAACTGTTGAAGGTAGACTAGACTAAGGAGCCAATCGATGACTTTCCTTCCAAAGCTGCCGTCACAGAATCTGGCTATCTGAATGCGCTTCTCCCTCCTTCGCTTCATGGGAACGAGAGGAGGAGACCTTTTCTGTGGTGTTGACTCCCTCTCTGTCTCGGCCTGGGCTCAAGCCCCGCTTCTCTGCCTGTTGCCTAGTTGGCGGCTGCTCTCCCTCCTGGCCCTCAAAGCCCTGTGGCCTTCCCTCTCCTAACGGTGTGCCAGAATGACCTTGGGATCCAGGAGAAAGAGCTGCAGGCTGGACAACCAGCAGGGGGCTGAATCAGTCCTGAGCTGCTGAGAAAGGAGCTGGCCCTCGGGGCTTTCCTCCCCGGGGGAGCATCTGCTGGCCCCTTCCCTCCAGCCATGCCATCTCCTTCCTGCTTTCCTTAGGGAGAAGAGGCTGCCAAGGGCCCACCTCCTGGGCCGGCTTCAGAGGTGGAGCCCCCCGAGAAGTGCCTACCAGGACCCGTCCCATCCCAGCGGCCCAGCTGTTTCGTCAAGACCGAGAATGGCCTGGAGGTGGTGTGGGCCAATCAGGGGATGCCAGGCCCCGCTGGCCCCTGGGGGGAGACCGTCCTGCCTGCTGCTTACATGGGGATCGCAGAGCTTCACAAGAGCGAGTGACGGGTAAGGGTCCAGCAGGGTTTCATCTCTGGAAAAGGGGCTCCCTGTACATTGACTAGAGCCTGTTAACTGTTAAGTGAGCGTGAGGACTACTAACTTAGCTTTGCTCCATTAATTTTAGTGGTGCATTTTAATTTCTGCTCTTAGGGGTGGCTTGGCACATAACTGGTTCTCCTGAAGCATAAAGCTCCCCCCGCCCCCGCAGTCTTACAGATGAGGGGGTGGGTTCCCTCCCCCCAACCAGGGGTGGGTTCCCTCCCCCCAACCAGGGCAGCAAGAAAGCCCCCCCCCATTTGTCATGGCTGTAGCGGAGGAGGAGGGGCCTTCGGAGACCCTCCAGCCTGTGAGAACTCAAAGCAGAGCCTCTTTCCAGGCTTATTTCAGATATTTGGGGAGAAAGAAGACACGCCAGCCCAGGCAAGAAAGCCCAACCAAGTCCAGGACTGGACACGATGTGGCGAGACCAAGGGCAGCCGGAGGGCATTCCTGGCCTCTCTTTGAGACCTTTTGCTGCTCCTGTGGCAGGAGGGCATCTCAGTCGATCTTTGCCCAATGGGCAGAGGTGGCAGGGGAGAGAGGGCAGTGACGGGGCGCTGCTTTTCCTCTCCCCAACACCCTTATTTCCATGTATGTCTCCCAGGGGTGTGCATGAATGTATTGAATGGGAGGGGAGAAGTCAGCAGATCCAAAACTTACCAATACTTGTAAGCGAAAACAGAGCCATAAGAGGCGAACTGGAGTCCCCTGCCAGTGGCCCCAGGCCAGCCTCGCCCCAGGCCCAGCCTTCTAAGCAGGCGAGGCCAACAGGGTATTTGGGAAAGCTGCCAGGCCTGGATTGCAAGGCCGGAGCCTTCCTCCTGCCACTTCCCAGCCATAGGCTGCCTGGGAGGAGAGAGCAACTCACACCAGTACCGTCATTGCACCTGCTGGCACAAAGGCGGAATGACCCATAGAATGCCAGGTCTGGGGGGGGGCACCTTGCAGGTCTTCCAGACCAAGACCAAGACCAAGACCAGACCAAAGGCTGCCTGCCTGCCACCTACCAAGAAAGCCCAGCGAGGGAGTCTGGAAGCCTCTCCTTATTTCTCCTTAGTTTGGATACCTCCCCCTGTCACCTGTCCCACTGTCTGGCACTGCAGAGAATCCACCCGTCCACCTCCTTTCCCTTGGAGAGCCTCCTTGCCTACAACCCGCCCTGGGCCCACAATTCCCACAACCACCCTGTGTGAAAGTGTTTCCCTCTGAATCGCCTTGCCCTTAGTTTTAGGGTGACCCGGAGATCTCAGGTTATGAGAAAGGGGAGAAAAGGGGGAGAGCTTCTTTCGGCCTTTGGGGTCTCTTGACGGACATGACTGTGAATGCCTGTCTTACGCCTGTCCTCTGAACTCCAGCCCCAGTGCGGTAGGCGTTCTTTTAAGGCCAGCTGTCCACACGCGCACACACCTACCCACCAGTGATTTGGTTGTTCCCTTTTGCACCATTCTGAGCTCTTCCATATCCTTCTTAGATACCATGGCCACGTGTGCTCTCAGGAGATTAGAATAAGGGCATTGTGACTCAGCTGTGCTATTTGCCTTCCCCTCCTAACGATGCCAAGAACGGCTGTAGAGAAAATTCCCCTTTGCCTTGTAGATTCTTTTGGCAATTTTTAATCTATTCAAGGCTTTTAAAGAACAAATTTAAACAATTTGTTCTTTGACAATTTTCATGTGATTTAAAAAAAAATCTGTGTTGCTACTTGTATGATCCCACCTTTATAGATAGAATAAAACTATTTACTTTATTTCATATTTTCTTCTGTTTATACCTATTGTATATATATTTTTTTATTTATTATTTTTGCTCTATAAAGCTGCCAGATTTTTTTTTTGAGGATAGCTGGCCATATCCAAAGATTAACCCATATATATAAATTGTCTTTCAGAGACCCATTTATGAATCAACAGAAGATCTTTTCATCACACGGAGCACTTTTGAATACCCTCTTCTTCATCAGCACTTCTTGGGTTTAAAAGTTAATAAAAGAGCCACACTGGTATTCTTGTTTTGTAGGTGCAGAATCACTGGGGAAAAAATTCACTGAGGCTGGAAAACCCTTCAATTTGCAGAAATAGCTGCAAGTTCATTTCCTCCTATCAAGAAGTTCATGGACTTTAAAAAGTCCCCACTTCGGCTTCCCTCTTGGGTTCACTGGCTGGTTAAATTTTGGGGAGGCAACAAAGTTTAGCCAAACATTTAAGCTTCCCCTAATTAGGACCCCACAGTTGTCAGCAAGTCAGTCATTAGAGCTGCCACGCTGAACGCAGTAAACCCATTTCCTGCCAGGGTCAGGCTCCCCGGGGCAGCCTATCATGAGCAACGGGGAAAGGCGGCAAAGACCCCGATCCTCCTCCCTCCTTCCACTTCCCTCCACACAACCCTGTGAGGCGGGTCAGACTAGTGGGGAAGTGTGACTGGCTCAGAGTCGGCCAGCACTTCGACTTCACGGTGTTTCACAGCAGTCTCTGAGCGCTTGCTGAGCCAGCCTAGTTCCTCCAACAATCTGGTCCTTATTTTACCGACCTCGGGAGGATGGAAGGCGGAGTCAACAAGGCAGGACTAGAACTCACAACCCCCTAGGTTTCCAGCTGGGTGCCTTAAAGCTACCATGATGATGGGGTTGAAGAATAGAATGCCCTTCCTCTTGCTTCAAAAGCTACTTCTAATTGTTTTATTGCCCTCCAAATAATAAAACTGTAGAGTTGGAAAGACGGCATTTAATGCAAGAATCCCAACTAGATGATGGCTGTCTACCTGCCCCTGAACACTGGAGAGAGCCTAAAACCGCCTGTTCTTCTGAACTGCTGACGATTCCTGGAATGCAGAACAAAAGCTGGCCAAAAGGGAGGACGGGATCCTGAGACCCGAAAAGCCACTGGATGCCGGCTTCTGAGTGGTTCACGAGGAGGGGCCTGTGTGGGCAGAGCACTCTGGCTTCTCAATGCATTTAATGTTGCAAATATATTATTAGAAATTCCAATTTGCAAATGAATTACCTCCTGGGTTCCTTTCTGGAAATTTTAAAAAAGTAAACCATAAATTTTACTGAACAGCTACCTAAATGGCACCTAACCTAAGGGTCCCGGAGGAGCTGGCCGGCGCAATCTCGGGACCACTTGGCTAGGAGGAGGAGGACCCCCGAGTCGCCCCTGGAGCTCAGGGGAAAGCCAGAGAAGCGGAAAAGGGCTGACATGGTTTCCATCTTCAAAAAGGGTTGTGGATGCTCCATCGCTCGGTTCCCAAGAAGGGATTAGACAGCAGGAGTATGTCCGGAATGGCATCGGGTCTCCTGCTGGAGCAGGAGGTTGGACTAGAAGACCTCCAAGGTCCCCCTGCCCACTCTTGCTCTAGAAGCCCTGCAGATCAGAAGGAAAACGTTAGAGGCAAATGCCGCTACTGCCACCTACTGGCCATCTAAGGGAAAATAAAAAGACGTGAAGTTGGATTCACATTCGAGCAGGATTTCAAAACGATTATTTAAACTAACCTGAAGCTTTAAATTGAATGAATTCTTATTTCCTGACAGTGATATTTTCAAAAAATGTTTTGCCACCAAAACGAAAAGATAAATATTAGGAAAAGCTAATATTGAAAGGGGAACAATAATGTATGTAGAAGGAAGCCTAAAACTGCTCACTGTGTGAGTGAAGAAATATTCAGGGAACAGAATTGATCAGTTTCTGGAGTAAAGCTGGCTGAGGAATTCTGGGAGTTGAAGTCCACAAGTCTTAAAAGTTGGCAAGATTGGAGACCCCGCTCTAAAATGTGGGCAAAATGGGGGCGTGCATAAGCGCACCAACGTGCCTACCGTCCCTGTCCTATTGTTTCTCTTATTCTTTTATTTTTCTTATATGTACCCATTTCATGTATTCACAACTATGTATACACTTATACTTATTATCTTGTAAACAATTGGCAAATCAAATAAATAAATAAATAAAATAAATAAATTCCATGGTCCCCAAAACAAAACGGGGAGGCTGAAAGGAAAGAATAGTTTTATTGTAAATATCTGTTTGTATGCATGTATCATCTTTTGTTACACGAACAAGGTGACATTTTTTTAAAAAAATCTCAGCTGAGATACAATTTTTTTTCCTTTTAAGCTGAGATTTTGCGTTACTTTCCAAATTTTATTCCTCTGGCATTTCCAAGGCACGTGTGGATTACAAACCGCAACCCGGTGAGCTACAGGAGGGATTTTAAAAAGAGAACCGCGACCCCTTGAACGGACAGCCGCAGAGGCGCGCAGAGCCCCAGCCGGACACCGGAGCGGAGCCCGGGCGGTGCAAGCGGAGGCCGCTGAGCGGCAGGAAAAGTGAGCTGGGCGGCCACAGACCAGCCGTCTCTCCGTCGGACGGCCTCGGCCGAATCTCTGCCTCCCAGCGCGCTTGGTCCTCCGCCCGCAGGCTGCCCCGGCCCCTTGCCAAGCGGGTTTTCCGCCCCAGCCCGGCAGGGCCCTCGCTGCCTTCCCCTCGCCTGGCCGGCCGGGCTCCTTGGGCAACCCGGCTGCCTCGTGCCGAGAAGCGCGCTGCCAGGCGGGGGCCACGCGGCGCAGGGCAACACGCCACCGCCCGGCCCTGGCGAGGGAAAGCAGCGGGCGCTCCCCGGGCGGCGGCCTCGGCCCCGCCACCTCCGCAGCGCCCAGCGCCGGCCGGAGGAGCCCCGAGACGCCTCGGGCTCCGAACGCCTCCCCGCCGGGAGCCGCAGGCCGAGCAGGTGCGGCGGGCGGGGCTCTGGCGGACCACAGCCGGTGGGGGGGGGGGGGGGGGTTTGGCCTGCCTGCGCAGGTGACCCCAAGACGCCCCTCTTGGCTCGCTCGCTCGGCCGGCCGCGCGGGGTCCCCGGGGCTGTTGGCGTCGCGGCCCGACCCTGCGGCGGCCGGAGAGCCCGGCTCGGGCCGGCGGCGCAGCGGCGGCGGCGGGCGTGGCGGGGTCGGGCGGGGTCGCCGCGCCGCCTGCTGTTGGGCCCGTCTGCCGCCGGGGGGCGCTCGGGGAGGCGCCCTTTTGTCGTCGCCGGCCTCGCGGCCCCGAGCCGGGTGCAGGTGGCGGCGGCGGCTTTCTGCGGCGCGGGAGAGGAGCGCCGGGCGAGGTGAGGCGGAGGCTGCGGCGGCGAGGTGAGGCGGAGCCAGCCGCGGGATGCTGTGAGGCTCGCCTCGGCCCGCTCGCTGCCTGGGACGGCTGCACCTGCGAGGGCGGCCCACGCGCCCGCCGCACCCTCGCCCCTTTCGCAGCGGCCTCCTGGCAAATGTGCGGTAGGTTGCCGGGGCGGCGGGGGCGGTTGGGGTCTGAAGCCCCTTTGCCGGCAGAAGCGGGTGGGGGCGGCTCTCCCCAAACGGCTCTGCAGAGGGTAGGAAGCGACACCCCCCCGCCGCGACCAAGCGCCAAACCGGCCGAGAGTCGGGCGCCTTCCGCCCGCTGCCCACCCGCGCCCGCCCCGGCCTGGCCGGAGGCAGAGGCGCCTGGGGGGGGGGCCTTGGGGAACCCCGGGGGGGGGGGCTGCAGCTTCTCGGGCAGCGGCTCCGCCCGACCCGGGGCTCGGCAGCCGAGCGGCTCTTTTCTGGGCAAAGGGGCTGAAGCCCCCCAGACCAGGCCCGCCCCTCCCTCCTTTTGTCTCTGGACTCTTCCCTGCCAGGCCAGCGGGGGGGGCCTCCCTCAGGGGAGATGCGCATCCCGAGCGGTTGGCTCGGAAGCCGCCCAGGATGCGCGAGGGGCAGCTGGGCCGGCGGCTGTGAGCTCGGCTCCCCCGGCTCCGGCGGGGGCTGCTGCTTTCCAGGACGGCATTGTCATCCTGCGGGAGGGGGGGAGGAGGAGGGGGGCCTCGGCTTCTCCGGAGGCGGCGGCTGCTTCCTGGGCCCCGGCAGGAGCGTCGGTGGAGGCGCAGAGGCCGAGGGAGGCGCGGCTTCTCGGTCCGATTTGCCGGAGGAAGCCGAATCGGAGCCGGGGGGGGGGGACGGGGGGACGGCGGTGTTTCTCGCTCTCCACTGAACCGTCGCAAGTGGCCGCCGCCCTCAAAGCCGAGAACTTTTGCCCAGCTGGAAGCGGCTCCGCTGCTGCTTCTCCTCTCTCGACAGAGCCGGGCAGCCGGAGTTTCGGGGCGCGCGATCCCAGTGGGGCAGCCTAGCTGTGGGGTTCGCCCACAGCTCCCGTCACGCGGAGGGACCAGCGTCCTTCGACGCCTCGTTGGAAACTTCTGGGACAGGGAGGGCAGGCGGTCTGGGTCTGGCAAGAGGCGACCCAGGGTTAAGGGAATGACGGTTTACTGAATTGATTCCGTGGCCCAGGTTCATCCAGAGCCACAGAATAAGAGAGTTGAAGGGACCCTGGAGATCTTCTAGCCCAACCCTCTGCTCAAGCAGGAGACTCTAGGAAGGCAGACAAAGGGCTGCTGGACTTCTGCTGCTGGCCGTGAAGGGGACTGGGGTCTCTCAAAGCTTTCCCATAGCTTGGCCAGGACCATCATGCTGCACAGCTGAGCAGTTATAATGCCATGAGGAGAACTACAGAAGCATAGGCTGCAATTAAAGGTAGGCGGGGATCTGCAGCAGATCTCTTAAGGGGAGATCCAGGTGATCTGTGTCTCCTCTTTCTGCCCCCCCCCCCCCCCCGCAGAGCTCGACTGTTGGAGTGTAAAACAGGGGGGGGGGCTAATTTCGCCACCTCCAAGCTACCTGGGCGGCCTTCTCCCTGTTGCCCAGTCCCTGCCTGTGAGGGCCATGGCTGTCTGGTCAGCCTTCCTCTTTGGCCTCCACTGCTTCCTTTCCTGCAGAAAGGACCGCTGAGCCTCTCCCTTGTCACATCACCCTCAACGAAGGGCTGGTCTTGCACAAGATGTCCTTGCCGCGATAGGTTCCAGCTGCTGGCGCTCCCTGTGCCTTAGAAAAAGCCAGTCTCGGTTTCCATGGTTATGTTCAGCCTTAGATATTAGTTGATGCCAAAATGCAACAAACACACATGCAGAATGATGGGGAGTCTCCGCTTGCAGCTGCTTTTGA